ATATAGAAGGTATATGATCAATCAGTCCTAATGATAGAATGAAGACGTTAAAATTTGTAGTTCCACAAAACAAAGTAATAAACATTTCTATCTTCCCTAAGCTGTCTAGTATTATACACACTTTAATATTTAATTACAGGGAATTCTGATAGTTATCCAAACAAATTGATTGCAATAAGATGGCAAAACACATAAATTAAAATATTAATATGACAACAAACTAAATGCCATTAAAACAAAGTCTACGAGTTTTACAGCACGTGGAAAAATCTCTATATATATTCACAAATATATATCTATATGCGAGACGCATTATCGGATGGGTAACGCCCACTTGAATGGCAGAGCAACAAAAATATTTGTGCTGCGCGCTATTTGCAATCAGCTCTTGAGGAAGTCAACTCAAAGTCTTATCTTTCTCTCCATTTGCACTTACCGCTGAGCTCTATGTCGGTATACCTATATCTATGTGGTATATAGCTCTCGTATGGCACTGCACACACTATTTGCTTCAATCAAACTATTTGGTATTGTTTTGAACTTCTCTTGTCACTGTGAAGACTCTAGATAATTTTCATTTTGAATGCATTTAACTGGAAGTTCAGGAGATATGTACATGTATATGCTTGATATACATATATATATATATATATATAAGTATGTATATATAGGTATATAATGTTAAGCACGGCAGCCCCTTGTCATTAGGTATGCAAAGCAAGCTTAACAGATAAATGTCTTTGATCCGCGGTTCTTTTTATTTTAAGCTTGGGTTTTTTTGTTGTTTACTTTGTTTTTTCCTTTTCGTTCTTGAAACTTGAAATTTGTGTTTGTTCACACTTGTGAATATCTGTCAAAAGTACAGCGAAATCTTTTTGTTCATTTAGGTACAACATGAAATCCGAAATGAAAGATGTTTCACAATGCACTTGTTTTATATTTCTTGAATTTCTTTTATTCACATATCTCTATAGGCACTTTATACGCTGGGAATTCCCGAGCATCACAAACCTCTAGTTCGTGTCAACCGGTTATTGTTATTATCATAGTTGTTAAAGCAAGCAAAAAGCGCATACGATATTATTAATGAGCTATCAGCAACTCGGTTATGAAGTTTGTATTTTTAATTTTGCGATCCACGTGTAATTGATTCCGCGTCACTTCCACAACGGTCGACAAATGGAAGCGAACTGAATGGACATCGGTTAGTTTCCGTCTGTTAAGCGTATCAGCGCTGTCGCTGTTAACGTGCCAGCCATAAATGTTAATGCTAAAGCGATGTTAAAGCGCCTCCTCAGCGTAGTTAAGAAAAAAGGTAAACAGTAAGCGGCAGTTGATGGCAGTGCTGCCAGTATTTCGTATCCCTTGAAGACTTTAATGATGATCGTATATTAAATATTTACACACACCTCACTTCACCTTGATGCACAGAACGACTGACCCCCACCAGGCCTGGGCTGCCTTTTATATGAGGCGACTTTCACTCAAACACAAAGTCGCGCTCAACTGTTGAGCCCGGCGCCAGGTAGGGGTCGCTACAGTCGACCAATGCTGATAGTATTCTAGCTTCGTTTTTCTTAAATATACATAGACAACTTAAATGATCTTCTGTAGTTTTTATTCGTCCACGCGCAGTGGTATATGTGTAGAGGCTGAAGAGAATTTGCATTTAGGGAGCCAAAGTATTAATGACAGTACAATGTTATCTTAACAGAAAGAATCCCTCAGCTCTTATATATGTACTACATCTGAATGAGTGTGATAGATTATAAGAGAATTTGCATTTCGGGAGCCGAGCTGCAATATAAATTACAGTTTAATGTTATCATAGCAGCCAGAGAATCCTCTCGCTTCTCTATCACTGTGTATGCAAATATTGCACACATACATACGTATAGCAAGAACTGCGGCTGCGCAGCGTATTTAGATTTGTTGGTGGGCCATTGTCGGCGCTTCATATTCACCTTGTTCGCACGTATGCATAAAACAAAAGCCAAATGGCAATTGATAGACGCTCGCCAGCAGCTCGCACCAGCCGCAAATGTAAACAAACTGTCAAGTGATCAATGAATATGAATTTGAATGCTAAGAGTGGTCAAGTGGTTAACCAGCTACCGCAACCTGCTGCTGATTGTCTCTCTCCGTCTCTCTATGTCTCTCTTTCTGTCTGCCTTTGGCCTAAGGGCAACTTTTTGAAGCTGTGATTCAAAGTGTTTTTGAATGTTGTGTACTTATCGTTTTAATTGGCCTGTTGCTGGCAATTTAATTATTCAATTAGCCAGCTAGAGCTGACAGCAAAAGCTCGCTTTCTATGCGAACTAAAGATCGAAAGCTTTCGGAGCGCTCTCCCTGCACGAGTCATAGGAGAGGTAAAAACAATAACTGTAATTCCGACAAGTGAATAGCATGTGTACAGTGGGTGGCATTATGTGATGAATAATAGCTTTGCCTTATATATTTAAATGGGCCCAGTCATAAATCAATTAGCATACAATGCTTATTATTGGATTAGCTTGATGAAAAGTAGGCTGCTATAAATTATAGTATATATATATTATACTACAAATCGACAGATAAATTAAAGCATAGCTATATATTATATGTAAAATCAGTTTAATTGAATATTCGATGTCAACATCAGCATTGCTGAAATTCTCTTTTCTCTTATGCATATGCATATGTAGGTATTACGCTCTTCCATGCAGCAAGCAGTCATCAGTACCAGAACGAAGAAGAAGTGGCAAATGCAGTTATGTTGAAGAGATAACACCATCATCTGATTCCGAATGGGCATATCGAATGTTATGCATGTGTTTACATATATACATGTATGTTGTATGTATGCATGTTCTCATAGGCTATAGTCATAGCGTCGTAAGACACGTAGGGCTGCAGCTTTGGCTAATATAGGGAAATAAATCCACCTTGTGACAGGGATCGTACGTGTTTATAGTCAGCTTTTTGTATGGAAAACAGACGACAAGAGCCATTATTATTTCTTTATGATATAATGTGCTAAGACAATCAAAAGTGTCGATAGATGATGAGAAATCGAATCAGTGGGAACACCCAATATGTAATTGCGAAATTAATATTGTTTTACAAAATATGTTTTAGAGGTTTGCACACGCAAACATACGTATAAGCAAATGCCAATTGCCAATTAATTTTTGATGGCTTTGAAAACAACTGAACGCACTATAATGCATGTACGTATGTACAGTCATATATGCTCATATATGTATTAATAAGCCCATCAAGTGTGCGAAACGTGCCTCGCCCGACCGACCAGCCATCCAGCCTTCAAGCCGGATAAGCTATAAATAGATAGTGGCTGCACCTTATATTCCAGGGTATTCCTGAGTTTTGCTTAGAGTAAGAGTGACAGTAGAGAAAGAGGAAGGGGGGAAGAGTAGAGCAGTGAAGAGTAAGCAAAAAGAGTGCTATGCAAACTGGTTTCACGCTTAACATTGAGCTGCGACTACATCCAATTCAATTGCTAAAGAAACCGCCAAAAACACACAAAAAAAATTAATTTAAAGTTGTGGGCACAAAATATAATCGTCAACCCGGCATCCAAGGCTCTTTGCCATTGAAGATTACAATGCCCGATGCCAGATGAAAGACAAGAAACAAGACGCTGACTGACCTTGGCACTCTCTCGTTCCTTCTCTCTGCAGCTGGAGCGCCAGACGATTAACTTAATTTCCGCACAGATGTCCAAATATTTATCGGAGTCAACGTTAAAGCGATCTCACTTTGCCACAAATATTTAAACAGGTCAATTAAAAAGGCATCCGCTTTAATTTAACAACGCGCTCAACTTTGATTATCTTTAAACTTTGATGGTTTGAACTCAACGGACTTTTCTTTTAATTAAAATTTTGTCGTGGGTTTGTTTATTTAACCGCAACCAAACTTCTTGTTTGGCCAATTCGCTGCAACTGAGCGTATTAAGCGACGACTGTTAACTAGTGACGACTGTGAAATAACAGAGCAGACTGCTGTTAGCACACAAAACTGTGGCCGCGCTGCTAAGACTGCACGCAAAAGCTGTTTGCTATATAAGTTCGTCAGTTAACAGCGCTACATCTAATATACAAAGCTTCTTCCAATTTGAATTTTAACTTAGATAATTGTTGCTAGGTGTGTCATAGATTCAATTAATAACGAATTTTTACCTCAAAATTGTATTTAGGAGTATATGCTAGCCCTTATTAGTTATTATAACAATTTTAATAAGAGCTTTCATTAATGAAAACCCATTTAATTATTGTCTTACTCTGTGGCCTATAATTAAGTTGGTCTAGCCAAACAGTAAGGGGCGTGACTCAAAGCCAAAGGTGCAGCCATGATATTAACACGTACTTCAATTTACCTTATTCAACTATGATATTAGCAAGCTCTAAGTTCTCCACCAAAACTGGCTTAATATCAATGTTTTGACAACCAGTAGAACTACTAATGTATTCAAGAACTGAAATTAGCTATTAGCTATTCATACTTTGCGAAAATTGACATACAGTGTAATAAATTCTATTATGCTCTAACAAAAAATGGATTATGTTTTATTTAAATTTCTTTTCGTATTGCCGTTACACGGTCAGCAACAGGCTGTCGTTGACCAGGCTAAATGATGTGAAATCATAATATATCAATCACATATACATATCACGTCGTATCGATAGGAGAATATCGCCTATGCGTAGAGCTTCACGAAGCCAGGCACAGTCAAATTATCGATATACGGAGCTAATCGTTTTGTATTTAAAATAGTTTCAAACGGCGATGTGAAAAGTTAAAAAACAAAACAATGAGAAATCGTTACAATCGCGAGTATATTAAACAGAATATAAATACAAAAATATTACATTGATTGGTGGCTTAACCTGGCTTGACTGGTAATATGAGTTGTAAGCTCAATACTTTTTAATCAGTGCGTTAACTGAGTTGAGCGACCCAAGTCTAATTAATACCTCAGTTATAGTTGCTTGTGGGCACTTGGGACTGCTGATCCGAGTTTCGACGAATGACCCATGCTAATCGAAGTGTGCCGATTAAATTGATCAGCCCTGCGCCTTCTGAAAGTAAATGCTTCTATATCACATACTAAATCGATAACACAAAATTTTGTTAGGTTTCAGTTGTTTTGTGTTGCGGGTGTTACTTAATCCTAAAGGTCATGCAGACATACAATATACCATAGACACATCACCAGTACAGTTTCACAGTGCAACCAATCTAAGTGCGAATGAAACGAGTCACAAAAGAAAACACAAGGGAAAATACATAGGGTGAACAAGCAAACAATCAAATTAGTGCAAACGAATTTTAAGTAAAATAGAAACACCAACATGTTATTTAAGAATCCAATTGAAACATTTTTGTTTTCTTTTACCTAATTCAAGATTTGCGGACCGATCTTATTGGCACCTCCATTCCGATCTTGGAGAGCAATTTCCTCTTCAGTGTCGCTGGCATCGTCTTCAATGCCCCGAATTCTTTTACCATAGAATAATGAGCCCAGTTATAAATGTGACATAGGACGTATCTCACTCTCATATATCTTACGTTCTCTCCCTCTCTTGGAATACTTACCGGTTTGAGATGAGCTTCAGAACACTTCGCTTCAACACAAACATTATGAATATTATGACGCCCTGTGCACTATTGATGTAATCGAAGACCTGCAATACCGAGAACACTGGCCCGTTGTTCTGCACTAGGTATACGACTATTTCGAAAGTCCAGGTAACGCCCATGATAACGAAGAGGCGCACGAACAGAGTATACCTGCGTGGATAGAAGTGGCGCCGATATTTATCGATTAAAACTATGCCTATATCTACCGTCTTACGTGCGCTTATTCGAATCGAGTCGCTGCTGGGGCTCTCCGCGTACCGCAACGTCCTTCAGTTCTCTTTGCACTTTCAGAATGCGAATGGACTACGAGAAAAAAAAAACAGAAAAATTATGATCCTCTTAAATGACCAGCAGAAGGACTTGTTACGGTCGAATTGGCTGTCTAAGAAAGCTAGGGGACATCAAAATGTCTCATCATGATATTCTGATTCTAAGAATAATTAAACTTGGTCTGACTTACAGTGAGTACAAACATGACGATGTTGAAAATGATTTGCAGTGCCATCGGTCCATGGAAATAGAGCGCTGCGGACCAATCATGAGCTGAGAATATTTCAAGAAGGGATATTTCGATAACAGCTTCAGATTCGAGAAACTAGTCGTTCGCTAAATCGTACCCTTCACCCAGCAATTGTAGACAGCAACTCCTGGTATCCAGAGAAGCTGTTCCTCGTCTTCGCCATCCCACGACATATCGACTATTATCACAATAATGGTAAGCAGGATCGCAACACCCCATGCGTAGAGACTGTAGAGCAGGAAGCGGTAGTTGAACGTGTGTCGGGGAACGTGCCAGCTGTTGGTGCGGAAGCTCTTCCACAGGTCATAGCTGATCACGGTTAGCCACAGGAAGCTGGCCATGACGAAAAAGTAGCCGAGATAGCCTGAAAAGTGAAGTCTATTGAGGACTGCCCCATTCGCCTGGTGCTAAAGGGATCTACCCACCATTCACCTGACAGAGACTCTTCGACCAGTCCTCCTTCCAGGAATCGCCTAGGAGCAATGCGAATGACATCATCAGGCAGATCATGTAGCATGTGAAGCACAGCCCGTGCAGATTTCGCAGCTTTGGCAAGTAGAGGTACACGCAGATTGTGAGAAACAAACATACGATCGAAATCATACGCACTGCAAAGATTCAAAGATCAGAGAAATGTTAAGCCTCCTTCAATCTGTGGGCAGGTCAAGGTCTCCGAGCGACAACTGATCGAGAGCTCTATCAGATCTGTCAGTGAGCTACCATTTAGATCAGCTCGTTCGAGCTCTCTCGGCGTTAGGCTTACGAGTATTAATTAACCATTGACTCGGGGGCTCGATTGCACAGTTGTGGGGCACCAGAGTGTACTGCTCGTCGCTGTCCTCCGTTCCGATCTTATGGGGCTGCAGGCAATACGCTTGCTTGGACAGCTCAGCATCATCGAACTGACGACGTAGGACTCCGTTCTGTAAATGGGGCGGAAAAGAATGGGTACAGTGAGCAGAGTATTTCGATTTCAGTTTCTGTCAAACCTCTAAGAGGGTCCACTGATGACTCTCGTCGTTTTCCGCATCCAGATGGAAGTGTGAGGCGCATGGGACGGGCAGATCCTGTTGTATGATAAAGTCCCGCAAAACGTGTCTTCTCACCTGGGTGCCATCGTTCAGCGTGATGTTGATAATGGGATCGAACTCGATCGCTTTCGTTGTGTCCCCGTCGCACTTGCGTTCGCCGTCAACGAGGAACAGATTGCGATGGCAACAGAACCTAATGCAGGTGCCCAGGTGGCAGGCACAGCCTCTCAGATGCCTGGCCACAGACTCCCTGTGGCCCTTCTCCAGTATCTCGTAGTCATACTCGCCAACCAGACTTGCCGGTATGATCAGCTTCTCATACTGGTACGAGCCATTCGGTAGCCGCTCGCTCTGCGACAGATCCACTGTGTCGAAGTAATCGCATCCCGGTATTTCGGCAGCTGCTATCCCGGCGGTTGCCAGCATTATCACTAGACCCATTAGACCCATTCTGAATGCGCGCTATGCTTCCGCCAATAGTCGATAGTTTTCTCCAACAAGCGTGCTCAATCAACAGCTTTGATTTCTGCGAAAATTAAATAACCTCCATCAATTCCTAGAAAAATTGCTAAACTACTCCTTCATATAGAAATAAATGGGTTTATTTGCAGATAAGCCAAGAGCTTCGCACATTCCAAATGGTAAACTAATTTCTATGGATAAAAGCTACAACATGGAGGTATTTTGGTCTATTCGGAATTTTGTATATCTTGAATTTGAATATTTGCAAACTTTCGGTATCGTCACTGCTCTCTCTTTAGAGCGAGTACTTTGGATGTTCGCGAATTCTTAGCAACGAAACTTATCGCCTCAGGGAATAATGTCGCTCATGCGTATTTATCAGAGCTCTCTTGTGCTGCTTATAAGATTATTTTGTTTAGCGAATGAACATGTGGTTAAGTCAGACAGAAGTCTATCACAAACATATTTGTTCAGATGAACTCATTTCCTTTGTTCCCTTTCTGAGACAATGCAATTTCTGATGCTTGACTCCAGGAATACTTTTGGTACAGAAACTCATATCACAGAATGCGTCTTTTTATTTTTTATTTTTGAGTACCGATAAAAATAATTATTCTTATTATTTTTGTTTTTTTGGAACGAATTATAAATGTATTGTGGGAACAAAATTTAATATTGATATATCTATTTTTTAAAGTTGCATATCAAATATCATATTGATATTTTTCAAAACTTAAAATATCATCGAAACGGTATTTTAAAAATATTCGACAGTCCCAGTTTGTATACGCACTTTTACCGGCTGAGTTGTCTGCCATACACTCGATCGTTGAGAGCGCGTCATATACATACATATATACAAATGTGACCAATAAGTGACGTCAGTTTAACTCATCGCATTTACTTCGACCAGGCGCGCAACGTTTCTCTTCGTCGGCATCGAACTCCAGACTGAATTGCGAATTAAAGCGCCAGCCGCCGCGCGAACATTGATCTTTGCCTTGAAATGACGCCAGTTGCACTCACTTGTGTTTCTCAGCTCTCTGCAAGCGGAGATTGTCCGCAATTCCCTGCCAGCACTAACGCAGCCGCAACGTCTCCCCAAGCAGAGAGCGTTGCGAGTCTCGCACTTTGCGTGCGATTGCTGTTGCTCTCTATCGAGGGGAGCTCCGTAAGTTATATACATACGTACAATCATCATATAAATGCATACAGAAGCATAGTTAATACTAATTGAATTCTGTAATTATTATAAATATATAGTTCGCATAGATATTTGTTTTCTATATAGTTATTCGATATACATAAAAGTTAGCTAATTTTTTAAAATGTTGTCTTTCCATTATATTTTACAGTATTATATACCATAATATTTTTCGATGTTGTTCGACTAAGCTTTCTTGTTTCTTTATTCTTATCCCTACCTCGCTTTAGGAGGAGGTAAGTAAACAAATAACAGAAAGCGAAAGTTTTGTTTCGTCATTATTTTTGTTTTCATACTACGTTGACCGGACTAAAAATAATTTATTGCTTGCGATTATACCAATTGTTTTGAATATACTTATACTGGTAGTTTGGGTTGGGGTAGGACCGACTAGAGCTTTGTTGCTAGCATTCATGAATCGAAAGTCTATATTTAATTTAAAAATTTTTAAAACTTGCTCATTCTCAATTTGTAAGACTTGTAAGATAACATTTTTAATGGGAAGCAACGCGCTGAGCCAATTAATGTTTGCATATACATATAAAGATGAGCTTAGAGAAAGAGAGGGAGGAGAGTGGATTGTGGCTGTCAGTGAGAAAGGCTTTGCTAAAGTAAATAACAAACTCTTTGCGCTTGGCGCGTGCTTGAAATTTAAAATTATATGAATATAATCAGAGAGCAAATACATTGTATATACACATATATAGATATACAGAACATTACAATTCATGTGTTTATTGTCTCGCTGTTGGGCCTCAGCCGATGCCATTGTTCTTCCCGAGCCTCGAGAGGCGTGTGGCGTTCGCTTCTGGTGGCTTTTGACGGTATTCATATACTGAAAACGGCTGCAAAATGTATGCCCAATACACTCACTCGCTCTCTCTCTCTTTCTCTTTTTCATTCTCTTGTGGGCGTTTAAGCTTTAAGCAGTTAATTTTATGGTTAACTGTTTCTCTTCAACCGCCACTGCTAAACCACTTTGCTTTGCAATTGACGCTAAGTTTGGGTCTGTTGCCAAACTGGAGCAGACTCTCATCTGCTCTCTCTCTATCTCTCTCTCTCACGCTTCTATTTCCTTGTGTGCTCTGTTAGAATAATAGCCGCTGTTTGATTATTTAAATGTGCTCTTCATTTCAATGCATAATCATGAAGGATTTTAAAATAAATTCAAGCAAACGACTATTTTACCTTCTGTTGCCCATATGGGATCTATATATATCTATATAGGATATACAACGTTCATTTCGCGCGCTTTTTGATTCGTTAGTCATGAATATATTCCTGAATAATAGAAATGAATTCAAAGGAAATTCGGGCATCAAATATAATTTCAATTGAACTCATGTACCCCATCCGCACAATATCGTGGAAATATAAAAAACAAACATAATTAGTTGACTCAGTTTTACATATATGTTTATACATGCTTGCACATATGTATGTGTGTTTGTATGTGTGTATAAGCTGCACTCCGCAAGCACTCATTAAATCTTCATTAAATCCACTCAGATCATCGAGTCTGCGTCGTTCGATTCTGCTTCGTCTGCGGATTTTTTGCGTCTTTTAGCTCCAGTTCGATTCTCCGATTCGAGCATCTATGTATACCAAGTTCTCTCTGCCCCGATGGAAGGGCACACAGCTTGCTCTTCTCTTCATACGGCGTGATTAGTAAAAGCTGAATCTAAGCTCCGATATATTATACACATATTGACCAAAGCTAACGAGTTCCTCATTCATATTTCTGGAACATATCATATACATCGTTTCTATTTATATGCTTATAAGGAATAGGGCTGTGATATAATGATATAATAACACCTTTTAACACCTTTAACCGATTGCGTGCATAGAATTTTCAATTTGATTAGCTAATGACATTTGTAATGGTTCCATAATTATGTGATTATATGCTATAGGTGCTTGAAAAGCCACTCCCTCTCTGCCCACCCCTCTCCAATCGTCTTCTCTCCACTAGTTCCTCTAAGACCTGCTGTACATTTGCCTGAGCACCGCCACAAGGGAATAGGACTTGCTTATGATATAAGTGAAACTGGGCAAGGTGAGACCCATAAACCCGCCAGCCGTAAACAGAAATAGACGATCCGCGTTTACCATGAAAATCAACAAGGTCTTCTTGCACCTCCGGTCGAGTGAATACCAATTGCAGCTAAAGGCAGCGCTGGAGAGGGATTTGCTCTGCAAAGTATAGAAAGAGAAAAGGGGGGAGAGATAAATATATATATGTATATATGTTAATTTCTGTAGATAAGACTCACGTGCTCGTACACCTCGTTGCCAAAGTAGCAGTACATAAACAGTTGACAGAGCACGCAGCAGAGCATCAGGTTCATTATCATGGAGCTCTTCGAGCCGTCGCCGATCACGATGACCTGGAAGGCGGTCATGGCCACAATGAAAACGGAGCTAACGAACTGCAGCATCACAGCCAGATTGAAGATGCGCTCCACTTGCTGGCGCAGACTGTTCAGAATATATAGCTATAAATAACTGCATATATAGATCGTCTCTCTGCTTACAGAATCAACTCGCAATGGTATTTGACTGTGGCAACCAGCCAGCTGTAGGCGTCGATGCCGCTGCTGTCGTGCAGCTTCTCGAAGGCCAAGCTGAGCACCTGGAGGTGCATGCATATCTGCCCCATCACCGAGATGTTGAGGAAGTCAATGGTGGTCGTCTGCAGTGCCAGGAGCGAAACACCCAAGCCCTTGTAGAGCGACTGCACGATGCGCGGCAGGAAGTGGGGCATTTGGGCCCGATACGGAAAACGATTTCCTGCAAACTCCTCGGGTGCTGCAAGGTAGATCATGTTAATTGCTGGAATCACTCGTGTACCATTCCAGATAGATCACCGGTCAGTATGTAGACCACACTCAGAATACCTGGCGTCAGCACGAGGTAAAAGTAAGCCAGATTCGCCAATTTGTTCTTCAGCTCAGCTCTCTGAAACGCCTCCAGTTGCCGCTCGGAGAGCACGCAGCGACGGGTGATCTCAGACAGCTTCTGTAAAATGCTCTTAAGGGTTCCGTAGCACATGATACGCCAGAGACTCAATCGAAATCTCACATTGAGCGTAACAGAATGAAAGAGAGGGAATATGTAGATAACAAAGATAAATGCAGCACAGCTCTTGAGGTATTCCACCAGGAATTCAGTAAGAAAGAGATAGCAGATAGTATAATGTAAATACTCTTATGGTACTTATAGATCTGCCAATTGATCATTTAATGGAACTCTTACCTTTATCAGAAAGGCCACGTGCGTAAAGGAGAGGATGAGGTTCTGTGTCATTGCGTCCAGGTCATGCCAATTGAGGCAGAGGTCGTATAGCTCCAGGAAGACATAATACCAAACGGCAAGCACAACGGGATATCCGACTGCAATGATGCACAGCTTCTGCAGAGGTGTCTCCGGCTTCAGCCCCACCAGGGGCAGGCCTACCAAGTGAGCCAGCCACAAGTTCAGCTCGATGGAGCCGATTCTGCCCTCAGCCGCATTCGAGGGCAAAACGCGCTGAATAAGCCGCAGCAATTTCTTCATTTCACAGTTGGAATCAAATCAATGTAGTCCACCATGGCCTTATATACACTTAGACGTGCATAGTGCGAGGGGCATTGCGTGCACTTGACGCCAGCCCCCATTTAAATGAGCAATCATTTCACCTAATTACTATCATAACACTAACAATGTAATTCTAGCCTTAACAGCCAAAATTACTGTCCAACTGTCTCTGCACAAGGTAAATGCTTTAATCTGGCACCGTCTGTCGTATGTCGTATGCCGTCTGTCGGTTGCCTTGAATCCGATCAAAGCCTTTGAAATGAAATCCATCTAACTTGCAATGGAGTTCAATTTAATCTATTCGCTTAGTATGTCATTCAGGTGAATTTGATGAGGCAAGACCTCTGCTTGCAATAGCGATTCCTGTTGCCGCCACAGCTCTTGTAGGACATCTTCTTGCAGAATCGGGTCCTGCTTTTATAGCACTACCTACACTAGCTCATATATGCCAAAAAGGAACAAGGCACCTGGAGTTTGTGGAAAGCTGTTTTGCCAATTGAATGCAAAGTGAGAACAAAAGACCTCATACTAAAGGCGAACTTCTTTATTCATATACAATATTATGGCATATTTGTGACTATTCAGGGAAAGAATATTCTTTATGGTAAGTTCATAAATATATATTACTTGGGCTATAAATAAATATAAAATGTCCATCTGGTATCATATGTAGAATAATACGAATTCGTAATTATAATCTCATCCAATATCATATATCTATATACTAATGATATGAATTCCATTTTCAAGATTCCATCAAGATAATCTTTTTCATCACCATCGTCGACATGATCATTCAATAAGTATGTTATTGAAGCAGATCTGCTCTGTTTTGTTAAGGAACACAGATGTGCGCATGTGGATCATATTGTCGATATTCATAGATTCATTTCATTCAAGCTGTAGTCTATAATTTATAATTCCAGTTACAACTTTAATCAATGTTCTATTTGGTCCGTATATATGCCCTGATGGTGATCTTGCTGGTCTTGAAAATGCTATAAAATATATTGACATACAACCATCAATTATCACATTTGATTGCTCTGTACATAAGGTAATAGATTGGAATATTTGACAGTATTCCTTTGGCAATGTTCAAGTTCTATGCAGATCACAATTCCAATCCAGCACGTGCTCTACCATAAGGAATAGACCTGAATAGTCTGAAATATGTCATAATAAGTACGGATTTAGTATAAGGGCTTTTGTTTTCACCTTGCATTCAATTGCCAAAACAGCTTTCCAGAAACTCTGGGTGCATTGTTCCCTTCTGGTATATAAGAGCTGGGTTTTCTAGTGTTAAATCAGTTCAACATTCAACTTGAATCAACATGAAATTCATTCTGCTCCTGGCTTGTCTCTGCCTGTATGTGGCCACGCTTGAGGCTCAACGACGCACTTGCAAGGGAATAGTGCGTAAGTAAATCGATGCAGCCATCGTCATCAACCCATAACTGACTGGAATTTGACTTCCACTATGATTTCATTAGCTTCTCGGTTGAGGAATTGTGTTGGAGGCAAGGACGAGGGCAGGGGCAATACTCGCTCGTGCGCCAGGAACGCGAATGGCAACATGTGGTGGTATGACAGCAGGACCCGGTCCTGCAAGAAGATGGCCTACAAGGGCTGTGGCGGCAACAGGAATCGCTATTGCACCCGCGCAGCCTGCCGCAGCAGATGCCGAAGGCGCAACTGAATGACTTACTAATAGAAAAGGAATCGAAATGAAATACAATTAAATGATCTGCATAACAATTGACTGATTTGCTTTCTGTGTTTTGTGATGGGGAACTATTCGAGATATCGGACTTGATGTTCGTTTGCTCTTAATTTATAAGAGATTATGCTCCCCAGATATTTCATCGGGTTTTAATAGTCGTGCAAGCAAAATGTGTTTTTGGACTTGATTAAATAAAATAATATAATTCTTGGAAGAAAGTAAAAGCCTATGGCCTGTTGCTGCCAAATTGCTGCCTCGGAAACAGAAGAGTTAATCACCGAAATTATTTATTGACTCGATTCGCAGATTGCCATAGCGTATCTGAATCGCTTTATCGGGGGGTATTTATAGAGCCCATGGGCAGTGCGAACATCAGATATGACTCGAAAACAATAAGAAATTTGAATTGTATTTTCTTTGCTCCGTTCGATATACGATATACGCATTTACAGTAACAACACCAAATAATGACTTACAATATATATATATGTATATATAAAACATACAATTGAATCTGTTTAGAACTATATAAAAATGGCTGTAAATGTAAAACATGCACAGATCACAAACGAGGATCGTCTCACTTGAACAGACTTAACAACAGTTTCTGGACATAACTAACATTGGTTCATCGCACAGTACGTGCACAAACATGCATGCACCTAGCATACAGATATATGTATATATATATAATTTGGTATAAAAGTTCTACTAGCTACGCGCCCGCACTTAGTGTACATATTTTGATATATGGTTCTTGATAAGACGTCTAGGTCGATGGATTTTGAGCATCTGCGGAATGTGCGAGCTGGAGGCTGCTTTTCACTTTGATCTTGGAATTCGACTGCGCAGTTGATGGCTCGACGGGATGATGTTTGGCCTGGTGGACCAGCAGCAGGCCGTGATTGATGCTCGAGAACTTGCACGCATTGCACTTGTGGATAATAGCGGACAGCTCCAGCTCCGGGTGCACCTTTTGCAGGTGTATCTGGAAGAGACCGAGAGAATCTGCTGTGAATTAGGGCATTCCATGGTGACTGCTGCGGCGCCTACCCGATAGGCAGTGCTCTGAATGGCACGGAAGTCGCAGTGCGGACAGGCATAGCGCTTCTGCTCCCGGTGCGTGGCCATGTGACGGCGAAAGGCGTTGTGGTCGTTCGCCTCGTAGTCGCACTTGTCGCACTTGAACCGCTTGTCCGCCTGGTGGATGCGCATGTGCAGCTTCAAGCTGCTCTTCGAGCTGAACACGCGCTGCAGGAGTGAAGCAGGAGTGAGTGGAGTGGGGGCAGTCGAATGGCAGCTCGCTTACCTGACAGGTGGGGCACTGCGGCTGCTCGTTGCGCTGCTTGCACAGATGCTCGCGCAGTGTCTTCCGGTGCTTGAAAGCAGCTCCGCAATCCTCGCACCGATGCAGCACGGGCAGGATTGGCTGCAGCTGCGACTGCTTCTGCTGCTGCTCCTCGCTGGCGGGCTTACCCATGCCCAAGCCCTGGGTGCGATGCAGCCGCCGATGGTTCTTCAGCTGCTTGGTGTTCTTGAAGCCCTTGCCGCACTGCTCGCACTTGTAGTTGCGCTCCTCGGAGTGGATCTTCGCGTGGGTGTTCACTAGCCGTGAGTAGATCGGCGTCTTGAAGTTGCACAGCTGGCAGCAGTAGAGCTCCATGTCGATGGCGTGCGTCCGCCACAGATGCGTGTGCAAGCAGTTCCAGTTGCTGAACTGCGTCGACTTGCACTCCGGGCAGATCATGGGCTGGGCAGAGCCCAGGGCTCCATTGTGGCACCGCCCGTGGTACTCGAGCGTCGCCGGCGACTTGAAGCGGAACATGCAGCCCTCGACGGTGCACTTCTTGCCACTCGGCTCCTGCTGCTGAGCCGCTGCGCCTTGGCCCAATCGACGCTTCGACTGACCCGCCCCCTGTTTGGCGCCATAGGGCCGACCGCGCACGGAGGTTCCGCCAACTGGAGGCTCCACAGCGGCAGTCGCGGCAGCAGTGGTGGGCAGCAAATTGTTGGCCACGTAGATGCGAGCGGGCTTCTCGCTGGGCAGAGGCACCAGCGGCGGCACGGGCAGTCCACTCAGACTGTCCGCAGCACTTGCGGCGCCGTCAATCGAGCCGGTGACTGGCACCAGGGGCGGCACAGGCCCCGAAGTGGCGGCTGGCGGCGCATAGAGCTGCGGGAAGTCCTTGACCAGCGGGTCGTTGTGCGGCGGCTCCAGTTGCAGCTGCGCGGGTTGCGGGTCCGCTTCTTCCACTTCGTCATCCATCCAGGGCCAGCACTCCAGGTCCTCGGCCAAATCGTAGCCATCGTCATAGCTCAGCGGTGCAGGAGGCGGCGGCAAGTCCACCAGCGAGGGCTCCAAGGCCACAGCCGGTGCATTCAGTGGCAGCTCCAGGGGCAGCGGCTCACGGTTCGGCACAATCAAGTGCTCAACCTCGTTGCGATTCATCAGATTCAGCTCGTCTACGGTGCGCAGATGGAGCGTGCCACGCTGAGGCGCCTTCAGTATGTCCACGTTCTTGATGAAGATCTTCTGCTTCGACGTGGTTGCTGTTGTTGTTGTTGCTGTGGTTGTTGCTGCAACTGTTGCTGTTGCCGTTGCTGTAGCTGTTCCTGTTCCTGTTGCTGTCCCTGCTGCTGTTGCTGCTGGCACTGCTGGGGGCAAATAGTTATCCAGCTCACGGTTGAGCTCTTCTTGAGGAGCCAGTTCCGTTAGCTGCTGCTGCTGCTGCTCGCTGGTCAGTGAATGATCGGGCTCCGTAGCCAATTGCACGCTCTGCTCAAAGTCCACGCTGAAGTCCAGATCCAGAGCGCTAAAATTGTGGCTGCTGCCGCTGCTGGCGCTGTGGCCCGCACCGCTCGCACCACTCAGTACAGAGTCAAAGCTGAAGGCATCAGGGCACATGCTGGTGAGCGGCTCAAAGGCAGGCAGCGGCCCGCCCGTTGGTGTCAGCAGTGTCTCCGCGTTGAAGACCTCCGCAGGACTGGCGACAGTCGAAGCGGTCGCATTGCCGAAGCCCATGCCTGGGAGCAGCATGGGCTCCTTCAATATGTCCACGTTCCTTATGTAGATCTTCGGCTGGCGCGGCTTTTCCAGCAGATTGTTGTGGATCATCAGAGGAGGCAGCTGCTCCAGCTCCTGCTGCTGCTGCTGGGCCTCATTGCTGGGCATGGGAAAATCAAAGGGCAACAGCGCTGGCTCCCTGAGAACATCGACGCTCTTGATAGATATCTTTTGTACAGCTGAACTGGGCTGCTCCTGTAGCACCTGACTCTGCTGCGGCTGCTGCTGCTGTTGGTGTTGTGGATTGGAGCAGTTGCTAGCTTCCTCCACATCGTCTAGTAGATCCAGTATATTGTCATCTGTGGGCAGAAAGTCGGGCAGCTGTGGCTCACGCAGGCAATTGACATTCTTGATGTAGATGCGACTCTTGGGCTGCGACATTGGCTGTGGGGGCTTTTTGGCTGACGACTCATTCGACTTGGCAAGGGCGGCAATCTCCTGCGGCTCCAGCTGATGGTCAGCGCTAAGATGCAGGTTTAGCACTTCTATGCTATAGAACACATTCGCACAGCCTGCAAGAGCAAACTGTTATATATGTGTATATGAGATATGTGTGTTGAAGAGCTTGACCTGGGCAGAGCAGTCGATGCTGTGCATCTATGCCAAAGCAGCTGCTGATGTGCGTTTGCGTCTTTAGCGGGCAGAGACTCAGGAAGGGACAACTGGGACATTTGTTCAACGGCAAATCCGACTGGCAGCTCTCGCTGGCTATTGCCTTTGCTGTTGGCGGTGTGGGCGTGGCATTGGTGCGCTCCTTGGCCGCCGCCTCGGCCAGCTCCGATTTGATCAGCTCGGCCTCAGACTTAATCTCCGCTGTCTTTCGGCGAAAGCCATTGCGATAGCTGCGACTCGGCTGAGGCTGCTGCTGCAAGTCGGTCGTGTGGATTTGTACGAATGGAATGCAGGGTGAATCGACAATGCCAGCGGAGGTGCTCTTGTGGGTGCTAGCTGCAGCAGCTCCAGTTGCTATGGGTAATGGAATGCTTAGCAGTGCGGACTCGTCGTCAAAGAAGCCGCTGAAGTTATCGTGCTCCAGCGAGTGTATGGGCGTGGACAGCGACAGGTCGGTATGCTGCAACTGCAACAAAATAAAGAAACCCAAGTCAGATCGACGAACACACACATACAACCAAACGCGTGGCTCACCTGGCTTCCCACGGTGCTGTAAAAGCTCGTGAAAGCCACATCCGCATCCGCGTTCATATTGCAATGTTCATATGTAATTGTTTATAGCTGCATTTTTGCAAACTTCGCATTACATTTCAGTCGACCAAAATCTGTGGCACTAACTGATCTGATATCATATCAAAACATCTGATAACTACAACTGCAACAAAAACAAAAACAAATGCATCGATACTCATAGAAAAATACTAAGTCTATCGAAATACCACGATAATAATATGTATGCGATAGGAATCGTTTTAATTTACTTTCGGAATTGTAATAATTAGCTACCTATATTGAAGCTGAATTCTAAGCCGAAATATTACTAATCAGTATCTAATAAATCGCAAGCACATCTTGCATAGTAATGAATATAATTTTAATTGTATATATATTTCGATTATAGTGAAGATTTGCATTGCATTGCAATTTATAAATTCATTTCAGTGAAATCCATGTTGCTGTAACACAAGTGACAACTTATTTTCGGTACAGGAAAAGCAGAATGAAAATTACATTCCAGTTGTTAGTTGTGACGTCACATGTAGCTACTGTGTGTGCGGACATCATCTACGTTTTAGTATTTTTGCTAACGATATAAAAATATCGATAGTTGGCTACACACAGCATGCAAGGAAACTCAAACGTTTGAACTATATCTCACATCGCTAGCGGCCGCCGACAAAGTTTGCAGAGTAATTTCTATTTTAATTTAATAGCCATTATAAAATAAGTAAAACAACAAAATGCCGCGTATTATGATCAAAGGCGGCGTCTGGCGCAACACAGAGGTAAGCAATGCGCTGAGAAATGAAATGAAGCTGTGTGACTCAAGAGTTTTCTTCGTAGGATGAGATCTTGAAGGCGGCTGTCATGAAATATGGCAAAAATCAATGGAGTCGTATTGCCTCGTTGCTGCATCGCAAGTCAGCCAAACAGTGCAAGGCGCGCTGGTACGAGTGGCTTGATCCGAGCATCAAGAAGACCGAATGGTCGCGCGAAGAGGACGAGAAGTTGCTTCATTTGGCCAAACTGATGCCCACTCAATGGCGCACAATTGCGCCAATTATTGGACGCACTGCTGCACAATGCCTGGAGCGCTACGAGTACCTGCTGTAAGTGTGCCCTACCAGATGTTGCATCCGTATTGTAAATAATTTTTGTTGCAGCGACCAGGCGCAGCGCAAGGAGGATGGCGAGGACACCATGGACGATCCTCGCAAACTGAAGCCGGGTGAGATTGATCCCAACCCAGAGACCAAGCCCGCACGACCAGATCCCAAAGACATGGATGAAGATGAGTTAGAAATGTTGTCCGAGGCACGCGCCCGCCTGGCAAACACGCAGGGCAAGAAGGCCAAGCGCAAAGCGCGCGAGAAGCAGCTGGAGGAGGCGCGCCGTTTGGCCACGCTCCAAAAGCGTCGCGAGTTGCGCGCTGCGGGAATTGGCAGCGGCAACAGGAAGCGCATCAAAGGCATCGACTACAATGCGGAAATACCCTTTGAGAAGCGACCTGCCATTGGCTTCTACGACACGTCTGAAGAGCATCTGCAGAAGCAGGAACCGGACTTTAACAAAATGCGCCAGCAGGACTTGGATGGTGAGCTGCGCTCCGAGAAGGAGGAGCGGGAGCGTAAGCGCGACAAGCAGAAGCTAAAGCAGCGCAAAGAAAACGAGGTGCCATCGGCCATGATGCAGAGCCAAGAGCCGGAGCGCAAGCGCTCTAAGCTCGTGCTGCCAACGCCTCAAATTTCGGACATGGAGCTGCAGCAGGTGGTCAAGCTGGGTCGGGCCAGCGAGATGGCCAAGGAGATAGCCGGCGAGAGTGGCATTGAGACGACAGATGCTCTGCTGGCGGACTATTCCATAACGCCGCAGGTGGCAGCCACACCTCGCACCCCTGCACCCTACACGGACCGCATAATGCAGGAGGCGCAGAACATGATGGCGCTCACACACACAGAGACGCCCCTAAAGGGAGGTCTCAACACGCCGCTGCACGAATCCGACTTCTCGGGCGCGCTGCCCAAGGCGGCGTCTGTTGCCACTCCGAACACGGTCATTGCCACGCCCTTCCGCACCCAGCGCGAGGGCGGAGCAGCAACGCCTGCGGGCTTCCTAACGCCCGCCTCGGGCGCCATGGTGCCCATTCTGAAGAATGGCGCGGCTGGCGGCAGCAGCGCCACGCCCGCCTTTGTGCGCGACAAGCTGAGCATCAATGCAGAGGAGAGCATGGCCGTGACCGAGACTCCTGCTGTCTACAAGAACTACCAGAAGCAGCTGAAGTCCTCGCTGCGTGAGGGACTGGCTGCTCTGCCCACGCCGCGCAATGATTACGAAATCGTGGTGCCGGAGCAGGACGACAGCGAGGCCATGGAGACCAGCACGGAGCCAGCGATTGAGGACCAGGCAGATGTGGATGCGCGCATGCTGGCCGAGCAGGAGACACAGCGCAAGCGAGAGTTGGCCAAGCGCTCTCAGGTCATACAGCGCAACCTGCCACGGCCGACGGAGGTGAACACGAAGATTCTGCGTCCACAGTCGGAGAAGCAAAACCTCACCGAGCAGCAGCAGGCCGAGGAGTTGATTAAGCACGAGATGATCACCATGCAGCGTGAGTAACCCCGAACACCTCTCAAAACTTATAGAGTTTACCTACCCCCTTCTCTCTCGCAGTTTACGACTCTGTGCGTGATCCGGTGCCTGGTCAGTCGCAGCACAAGCTCGAGCAGCTGCAGAGCTACTTTAAGGCCAATCCGTATGAGGAAATATCACAGGAGGAGCTGGCCGAGGCCAAGCAGATGCTGGCCGACGAAATGGAGGTGGTGAAGGAGCGCATGTCCCATGGCGAGCTGCCACTTGATGTCTATGGGCAGGTGTGGCAGGAGTGCTTGGGACAGGTCCTCTACCTGCCATCCCAGCATCGCTACACGCGCGCCAATCTGGCCAGCAAAAAGGACCGCCTGGAGTCCGCCGAGAAGCGCCTCGAGCAGAATCGCCGGCACATGGCCAAAGAGGCGAAGCGCTGTGGCAAGATCGAGAAGAAGCTGAAGATACTCACCGGCGGCTATCAGGCACGCGCCCAGGTGCTCATCAAGCAGCTGCAGGACACCTACGCGCAGATCGAACAGAACTCGCTCTCGCTGTCAACGTTTCGCTTCCTCGGCGAGCAGGAGGCGATCGCTGTGCCGCGACGCCTCGAGGCGCTGCAGGAGGACGTGCGCCGGCAAATGGAGCGCGAGAAGGAGCTGCAGCAGAAGTATGCCAATCTGGCCGAGCAGCGCGACGCACTCTTCCAGCAGCTGGAGCTTCTAACGGGCAACCGACCCACAGCCCAGCAGCTCCTCGGCTTGGAGCAGGAGGCGCAGACATAGACTTAGATACATAGAATTTTAATCTTATCGCGAAAGAATCAACTCAAATACAAATAATGTTAACTAATCAGACTAGTGGCCGTATTTTTGGTAGACCCACTCCTTGTTGTCCAGCGGACAGACGTGGCGCGTCTTCAGCCAGCGGGCGATGCAGTGATAGTGGAACGCGTGATTGCACTCGCCCCAGGCCACGGTGCACTCATCCTTGTTCGCATTCGGATCCGCCTGGCACTCGATGCACAGGTTCATGATGTGATTCCGGCAAATGGCGCAGTTGTCCACAGCCACGTCCCAGCACCAATGCGCGTGCGCAACCCACTTCTTGACCACGAAGCGCTCGTCCTTCTTCTGCCCGCTGCCACTGGCCACGTTGTCCTCGTTGAATTCCTCCAGATCGTGAAAGTCCTCCGTCTCCTCCACCTCCACTTCCTCGGCCGTGGATCCATTTTTGTTACAGGTTTCCATTGGATTTTTTATATTTCAATTTTTTACAGTAGATTTTAAGGTTTTGTGTTTGCTGCGAATATATATATATTTTTTTTTGATAGCAAACATTTTGGGGCTTTCATTTGCTGGAGCTCATCAAAGCAGGCTTCAGCAGAGATCGATCCCCTGAATTGATCGATAGCAGGAGGCGTTAACTCAGTGAGGTAAGTTTTACATTTGTAACTAGCAAGTGCATGTCTTAACATAAGTATTTCCAACTCTTCCAGGTGTTTAATCGTAATATTTATTTAGGTCTGATTTTCAGCATAAATACATATATGTATATGAATTAAATTTGGTGCTAAAATACTAACAGTTTTTACTTCTCATTTGTTTTTGTTGTTGCTGTTGTTTTCACATATTTATATATATATATATAGATTGTTTATATTCCTCTCTGTTATTCTCTGTATAAATAAATATGCAATTCATTTACTTCGCTTCTCTTTTGTATACGTGAATTAGGTAGTTTTGTTCTCGCTTTGTGTTTTGTAAAAATTTAGAATTGTTTTTCATACGAGTTGTTTCAGTAGCACTTGCGTGGATTATTGCCCATGTAGTATATATAGATGGACATATTAGATGTACGATATACAGAGCTGATTATACATACATACATACATACACGCACTTTATAAATATATAGACAATAATAATGATAAGAATTAACGTAATGATATATAGCATAGATACTTATGCGGGTGTATGTATGCATGCCTACGGGTTTACTAACAATAAGATTGATTGATAAGTATATATATATAGATTGAGAAGAATCCTTAGCGCCATGCAAGACGGGATATATATAGGGGGGAAGAATTGGTATTCAGATTGTCCGCTAGTATAAGTTGTGGAGCAGTTTCCTTAGTCGTCTTCGTCGTTGATGGCCGCGCTGCTGCGCGAGATCTTCATGTAGGCAGCACAAATGCATTCACAAACAAAGCGATATTGACTCTGGAGGGGATGTGGAGGAGAGAGAGAGCTGTAGATTAGCTGCATGTGATGGGATTGACTCGATAGACATACCACATTCTGTACCATGCAGGCGCGCTGATCGCGCATGGTGCGCACTATGTCCAGCGGATAGACAGGCTCGCGCGCCTCCATCAGCGCCAGGGCCGTGTCCATTAGTATGAGCACACCAGTGCGTCCAATGCCTGCCGAGCAGTGCACAATCACGGGCGGATTAGCGGCGCTAATGCATCTGCGAGGGGAGAAACCGAATTAATTTTTGCTCTAGCTAGGCTAGATCTAGATCTGGGACTCACTGGTGCACGCTGGTTGATACGGGTGTCTCGTCCTCGGGCGTTGCTCCATTGCTCGCTGCGCACTTGCGCTCGCTCATCAGTCCCCCATTCTCGTCAGCGTCCGCGTCGAGCAGACGCACCTGCTTCAGGCTCTCCTCAATCTCCTGGAGCAGCGTGCGGTTGCGTGCAGCGCGCACACGCTCCGTGAACTCGAGAAACAGGTTGGGGTCGGAGGGCACGCAGTGATCCGGCCAGGCAAGATACTGCATGTGATGAATGTGCCGCTGCTCGTGCTTATCCCGCAGCACAAACTCACGGAAGACAAAGCTGCCCGTCTCGTCCGGCTTCTCGCTCAGACAGCGCACCGAGAAGCCGTCGCCCAGCTGCAGCTCTTCGCCCGTAACGGGCCAATATTGATGGCATTTCTGGCGACCCGCCTCCATTACGGTGGTGAGCATGACCAGGAGGTGGCTGCTCTCCTGCTGCACCATGCGCCAGAAGTCCGTGGTCGTGCTGGCCAGCGGGCCTTGCGTCGCTATGTAGCGATTCACCCCACCCCCCGGGATTTCCATATTCACATAGTTGGCATTGATGTAGTCGCCAGTCAGCGAGTTGACCAGAGAGACGCGCGTGCAGTCATCTAAACGGGAGAGACTTGGGTGAGTCGAGGATCCCTTATGGACTTGGTTTAGAACTTACAGGGCGATATATCCCGATAGCGATTCTTGGCCGCATTCGCCGGCTTCCGCGCCTCCGTGATGGCCAGGTCGGGATTCTTGCGGTACATCAGTTCGTATTGAGCAAGCAGAGCGCCCGACGCAAGCCCATCGCTGAGCAGCAGCAGGCTCTGGGTGAAGAGCGCGTCGCCATCCAGCAGATTGGAGTGCGAGCCGATCTCATCCGACTCGGGCACATACTGGTAGAGCGGCTCCTCCTCGAGCAGCAGTGGAGCCGAGCGCTTCGGTCGCACCGTCAGCAGCAGCTCGCCGCTCGACTGATGCCTGCACTCCCGTATCATGGCCACCACCTGCTCGTGGCGCAGCCCGTGCACTTCCCGGCCGTTGATCATGATCACCTCGTCGCCCTCGCAGACGCGCGGCGTGCAGCGATCGGCGGGCGTGTGCGGCACCACCTTGGACACCTGCACGGGCAGACTAAGGTCCACGCCGCCCTTCACATTGAAGCCGTAGCGGCCCTGCTCGTCGGCCAGCAAGCGCATGGTGATCAGATCGCTGCCACTGTCCGGCTGACCCACTGCATCCGCTATGGTCGTGGGCAGAAGTACGGGACTGTGCTGCCTCGAGCTGTAGGCGGGCGGCATGGGCGAGGGCGTGCCCGACTCGAAGCGCCTCGTGCACTGCTCTATGAAGCCAACATCGCTGCAAAGCAAACAAACAAACAAACACATTTAGATCAATCTCTGATTGGCTCTAGCTATGCTCRGCACTCTCAGCTAGACTCACAGCTGTATGTCGTATTCGTCGCTGTGCTGCTCCCAGGCCTTGCGCGGCATTGCGTCGGCCTGCTTGGACGTAACCTTGGACGTGTCATGTGGACGGCTCGTTTTCGTGATGGTCAGTATGGTGGATGCGGACGGTTTGCCGTTGTGCGAGGCGGCGCTGTCGGAGCCGCTGGCGGTGCCGTTGTGCAGCAGCTGCGGCGTGCCGTCGGCCGAGCTGCCGCCGCAGGTGGCAGCCAGCGCATTGCCAGCCAGGAGACGCTTGCTGGGCGAGCGGACAAAGACCTTGTGGATGCGGCCGCGCTGCTTGGACTCCTGCACGGCCTGGAGTTCGGTGCGGCCCGAGTAGTAGAACTTGCTGCCCAGGCTGATGTTGAGGAAGCGCGACAGTCGATGCGGCCGCTTCAGCCGGAAGAAGCTGTGGTGCTCCACGCAGGACTTCCACAAGGCCTTCGCGTGCTTGTGACTGCTCATGCCGAAGCCGAGCAGCGTGTCGTAGCTCTCGCTGGGCTCGCGGCGCAGCTGTATGAAGAAATCCTTGCGCTTGAACGACACCTTCACCATCTTGCTCCACGAGAAGGTGTTGATGCGCAGCCCGTGCTGGAAGACGAGCAGCCCGATGGCCGACACGCCCAGCTGCAGCTCCTTGCCATTGGAGTCGGTGGCCTTATGCAAGTCGATGCCATAGAGCTCCAGGCGCTTGCTGTGCTCCAGATAATTGTACTCGGCATCAGCCGGCAGCTGGCCGCGATGCAGCTTATGCAGCTCACAGATCTTCCGCTCCGCCTCCGGCGTTTGCTCCGCCAGCAGCTGCAGTCCGCTCAGGTAGCCCGTCTGATGCTCCACGGCATTGAAGTCGCCCAGCTCAGCTGTGGACCCAAACCCAAACCCAAACCCAAACACAGTCGCAGATTAGTCGTGGCCATAGACAGACTATGGATGCGAGTTACTCACACTGCACCGTGTAGCTGGCAAGCAGGCACTGGGTGTTGCTGGAGCACGGCAATTGGCCCAGCAGAATGTTTCGCTTGATCTGCAGATAGAACTGGTAGCGTGTGAACTCCTCCTGCAGCCGACTGGGATCGCTTACAAAGAACTGTCGACAAGCAGACACCATATCAGTTGAAGGCCCTTTCACCCTATATAGATTGGCTCACCTTAACTCTAAACTCTAATAATGGAACGGCATCGTTGTCGAGCGAGAGGCTGCTGCATTGCTTCTTGAACTGCTTCTGCGCGTCGACCCATCTCTGCAAAATGAAATTGATTGATTGACTGACTGACTGACTGGCGGACTGGATTGACCAATCGAGTTTCCCACTTACCACAACGTCGCCGGGCTTCTGTGGAAACAATAGACCAAAGTAATCCCTTTCGGATAGCTCGAGATAGTGAAAGACCTGATCCAGCAGCTCAGAGCCTTTCGCACGTTTCTGAAGGTTTAAAATCATAAGTTAATTAGAGAAGTGATAAGTAAACATATAAAACATGGAGAGCTTAAACATTAGGTTCTCATATGGAGTAATTGACTTGTCTCGAAAATGGAGACTTATGACAGTTCAGTGGGTATAAAAGGAAACCTTTCATTGCATTGAAAAGCTTCAATAATAATCATATATATAAATATATACATATGTATATATCGCTTCGCATCGTTCCACACGCATAAATTTCACCGTTTGCCCAGTTTAGTTGACTCGAAATGGCTAACTGTAAGCTGACGTTAATTTGACTGTGATTCGGAACAAACAGATCTTAAGTTAGGCACGACGACTTTAGCTTCATTTTCCAGTTTCGAGTGTTTTCGTAATTAAGAAAACAATGCGAATGCCTCTTCGACAAGTGCGTGTCTGTCTATCCGACTGTCTGTCTTTCGTCTCTCCCCCCAAAATGAAAGCGAGTTTCGAGTAAAGATGCGAAGCACTTTTCATATTCGATTTTCAAGTGCACATGGAAAGAGAAAAGGCAGGAGGTGGGGCAGGGGTAGTATTTAAGAAAACAATGGCTAATATATAAAAGTCGACTTTCTATGCCCAAGAGTTCGTTGATTTCTTTACACAATTCGCAATTTACAGTTATTATGCGAACTGCTGGGGAGCAGCTCGTGAAGTGCGCGAGGGAGCTCAAGTGGGTGTTGAGGCTACAGGCGCACAGTGAAAGCTCGCTAAGGCGAACCGGCTGCGCTTTGTTCTGCTCGAGCTAGAACTAAAAGGCAATCCGAATGCAGAGCGCGTCCAGGGGGCAAGTGGGCGTGCTCGAGCCTTCGCTGTCCGCGTACTCACGTCGATCCGAAAGGTGTGCGTGATGTCATCTAGGAACAGGAC